TTCAAAACTTTACTGGCATATAGATCTTGTCGATAGCTTAAAGGCTAGATGTTGGGTTGGGGTTTAACATGCATCCTTGTAGCTGGGAGCTCTATGTTTGGCAGTACTTTATCAGTTCCCCAGGCAAACTAAACTACTACTGGAACAGGCACTACCTTAGGCCTACTTTTATATAAATTTTCACAGAAATAAATCCTATACTCTGCCAGTATACAATTCATGGAACTTGTAAAAAACAAACTAGAATGATAAGAATAAAGGGCACAAGTGTCTTTCAGTAGCACTTAGTTACGCAAAGAGCCTAGCATGTCTTTATTATGCCACAGCTTCTTCTCCTCCCCTTCCCAACCCCCCCCTTTTTTTTTTTCTTAAGACAAACCAGACAAGTTCTTCTAAGGCATGCAACTGTTTCAATAACCAAAATTGTGACTGTCATACTGTTTGGAGACTACAGTAGAGGTGCAAGGGGAAATGATGACATTTGACTATGCTTCTAAAGTTAAACAACAACAAAAAAAAGTAAGAATTTGCCCAGTATTTTTACCACTAGCCTAGCTATGTATTTCCCCACACAGAAGCAGATAACGTCCTCTACAATGCTAATTATGATTGGACTATAATTAATTGTCATGGCCTATCATCAATGGGTAGGTGGGCAGTTCAGTATTACCTCACAATCTGACCTTTTTCTTAAAACAAAAACCAACCTATCAACCAAAAGTAGTCACTGATTTCCCAATAACTTACCACCCATCATGGGGAGCCACAACAGTCTGAAACAGGTAAATTTCAGGACAAATTCTGCAACTGCTATGAAAACGTGCTGCATTTAGTTTCAGAGATAATGCAAGTCAAAACCCCAAGTACATGTTACACAAACTCAGGATCTCATTCCTTCTCTTTAGGTGGCAGATGATTTTGAAGGAAAAATACTGTTATGCATATTTGTGGAACTAAGGTTTCAGGCCTCCTGCATGCAGATCGCTGTATTTGTGTCCTGTTTCCAAACTTTCCTCCATTAATTGAAGGTAATCCCACTAGATATCAGAGGTAACACGTTCTTAGATTGTGTCTTCACATCCCTCGAGACTCTACCACTGCTGTCACCGGTTCTTACCTTGCCTGCTCTGTTTCCATTCCACATGGAATTGCCCCATCAGGACATGCCCTTTGGGATCACCTTTGACACAATGTTTTTGGACACATGATTTGAAAAGGAAAGCTTTCTTATCATACTATCAATGAATCATTTACTGAAATATACCTACATAAAACAATAGGAAGTCTTACAATCAATGCCTAAGACAGAAATCAAGGCAAAATGTATTCCCAAAAGCTCCTCTGTCTGCAAAACACTAACTTCAGCTGTTAATGCTTTGCTACCCTCACAGCATCTCCAAACTTAAATTGACGCTTTGCAATGTACTGGTGTGTGTAATATATATATACACATATTACACAGGAGTAATTATGCCAGAACCACTTACTGCTGTATGCATTCACAAGTGCACTCAAAACTGTTCTTTCAATTCAGCCCAGTCTTCAGACTTGATACAGGTCTAACTGACCTGCTCCTCGTGACACAGTGAAGTCCTAGCTCCACTTTCCAGATGGACTAATCCAATCAGGAAAAGGCACCATTTCTTGGAGGCTGTTCACATGAGTTTTTAAAGGTACAGCAATTATCATAGAGCAGCCATACCTGCAGCTACTTACCAGCCATTATTTGGCCACCGTGCTGTACTGATAACAGGATAGAAGAAAAATTAGAATTTCCAGATCACCAGTGTCCCAGCTTTTGACCAGTGCATAACTTTTTAGCCTCTTGTGGAAGCACTCCAGGTTGCTTGTCTTGAATAATCACTAAAAGTGCATTCTTACCTTAAGCATAGGCATCTACTCTTGTGTAATACATTACCTGAAACACACCCAAAAGCAGGACACAAAAAGCACCATTTTGCCAACAGCTTCCTCAATACCCTACCTGAGAGCTTCCTTCAATGAGGATAAAGTATACACTTTTTTTCTGGGTTGTCAGATTTCTAAATATCTGACTAGGCTGAAAAGAGGTGACAACTAAGGTAACAGTGCTAAGTCAGCATGTTTGAGCAGGAAAGCCTGAGAGTTTAAGTGTTTGTAAAGCAAAATATAGTTATAAAACTGTTACAAAAAAGGATTGCTAGAACAAGAGGTCACAAAAGCCCTGTTCTCAGCAGCATATAACACCACAAAAACATACCAATTACTCTAGACAAGCCACAGAGCACAAACTGAGAGAGAGAACACCTCTCTTCAATGATTGAAAGAAACTACTGGTACAATAACATTACACCAGGATGTGGAGACCTGCATTTTTTAAAACTCAAGTGTGCAACTCAAACATTAAAGAACTAAACAAGATCTCCATAAGCCTAATTAAAATTTTACAAGCCCTTGCAATGAAACCTTCAGCAAGCATCAAAAAGCAGCATTTGTAGACTAACAAATAATGATATGCAAGAGTGGAACAGAAGTATTTGTGAATAATTCTTCTTTAAAAAAGCCTCTAAACTTGAGGTACATCAAAGTCATCTTGATAACCCCTCAATGCAGCTTATCAGAGAAACTGATGCTTCAGATGTTACTGTCTGTAAATCCAAAGACTTAAGCTTAACAGGAATCAATGCATTAGTATAATCTCTTGAGAATAAAATAAATCTTTAGATTTCTAAAACTCAAGTTTCATGTGAGGATCAAATAAAACCATGTCAGCAGCAGTCTCCAATGTTGGTCCTTGAGGTTTCAGATTGTATGGAGTTTTGTATCCCATTTAGAGAAAAAACAAACAAACAAACAACAAAAACAAACCTAAAATAACCCTTACAAAGATAATTGGGTTTTTACCACCATCACCACATAATTAGACACAGCGTGGATACAGTAAAGTTAAAAAAAAAAAAAAGGAAAAAAAAGGAAATTAAGTTGTGTTTCTTCTGTGGATTTCGTCAACACATTTTTCATAATTTTCATAAAATTCACTTAGTTACCAAAGCACATATCATCAGTCACCATGGCTCAATAAATAGATTCCTATATCTGCTAGAAGAAGTCCATTGAAAACCTTTGTCTTGATTGAGATGGATAACAGAAAAAAGCCCGAGGATATTCCAACAGCTTCACAACTGCCATCCTCAAACCAGTATCTCACTGGTACAATCTTGCCTTTTGTAATTATTTATACTTTACAGAGTAATTTGTAAGTTTTTCTGTCTTTTCCTTCTCCCTTTGACCTCCCATGTTCATTAAGGCAGAGGCAGAAATGAATTACAGCATTAGGTCCTAATTCTTAGATTAGTTTCAGATCAAGTGCTCTTTGTACACAGCAGAGCAGAAGGCAACATCAACAACATGAAAACCTTAATCCAACTTCACTCCACTGGGTATTATAAACCCTTCCAATTGCCATTTTTTCTAAAAGGTTTACTTCTAGAAATTACGAAGTAAAACCGGCACAGGTGAGAAGCATAGGTCTGTACTATTACTATGTTTGTGTGCAAACCTTTTTGAATGGACAGTTTATTATCACTCCCTCTTCTTCTCTCTGAAAATGAAAACAAGATAAAAGCATCATGCTTCACCACTGACCAGATGAGGCCCTGAATCTTTCTTACAACTATGGGAAGAAATAAAAACACTGCTGTACAGATGAAAAACGCAACTATAAACTCTTGCACAGCATCAGTTCCACATAAGTCAACAGAAACCATCTAGGCAGAGAGGGGGACTGGCAGATTCTGAAGTCTTTTTCAGTAGTATGGCAGCATATAAAACAACACACTCATTTTTAGGCATTTTTCTTATTATTATCACCATATGAGAAGAGCAAATGCTAATCCAAATGCTAATCAGAAAACTGATCACACATCCCAGGGAAAAGGAGGAAATCAGACAGAAATAAAAATCTCTAACTACTACAGGTGTGTCTCAGCATTTCTCAGTTATACGAAACCATACACCCCAACCTGGTAAACTGTCCTACACTGGCAGGCTAGCTCTACACACAGCCTCTTAACAGCGTGTATCTGCCTGCACCTACAGATTATTCCACAAGGAGCAACTCAAAATAATGTCGAGTTACTACCAGCCACTTTGGGTGCCAGAACATGTTCACATGACCTTGTTCCTCATTGCCTCAAAGACCAGAGAGAGCAACACAGCTTTATGAGGACACACTCCCTTCTCCAGTTACCAGGGCCCTGAAGTTGCAAGAACCTCTATTCCCTTTGGCATCCCAGGAAAATATCAAAATAGCTTTCAGTGATTTGGTGAGCGACACAGTGAGTGTCCCGAAACCAAAATCAGTGTTACTAGTCTGTTAAAGCAGAAGCCCAGACCAAACTGACAACCCACACACAGGGCCACGCAACTAACAGACCGAAGCAGAAGTACCCGGCACTAACTAAAGCATCACACTTGCGAGTAAAAAAAAAAAAGCTTTCGTCGAAATAAAAGCTCGCATTCCACGCTCCCACCTCGGCACTCACCCGCTCCCCCGCTCACAGCCCTGCGCGCAGTCTGGGTCCCCTCCCTGAAGTTTGCCACCAACGCTGCCCACGTCGCCCTACAAACCAGCAGCGGAAAAGCCGAGCCAAAAAGATAAAGGGGATTAGGCAGGCATTACTTCCAGTGACCTATATACTCCCCTCGGCAGCCCTGAGACAGACAGCAGCTGCTCGGCTGCGGGGGGCACCGGACCGCCGCTCCACTCCACCCCACCCCGCCGCGCCGGACAGGCCAAAAGGCACTGCCCACCCCAGGCGGGAACGGCTGTGTGTGCCACGGAGGCCCCGCCGCCAGGTCCGAGGCCCGTCCCCAACCATGGCCACCCCCTCATGGCTCCCGCCCCGGCGGACCCAGCCCCTACCTGTCGCGGGCGGTGCCGGAAAGTTTCCCCGGGGAGGGGCGAGACGAGGCGGCTCCGCTCCCTCTCTGCCGAAGCTCCAGGAGGGAGGGAGGGAGGCGACTGTCAAGGTAAGTCGCCGCCAGCGACGGGGCAGACGGGACCCGCGCTAATCCCCCAAGGAAGAGATCCCCCTCAAGGCCGCCCTCACCGAGCGCCCCAGAGGCTCCGTCCCTTCAGGGCGGGCATCTTCCCCCTCGCATCTCTCCCCTCATGGCGGGCGGCCCCAAGTCGGCACCGTCCGCGGAGTTTGTGTAAGCGGGGGCCGGGCCCTTGAGTCAGAGCGGCGGGGAGGAGCCGCGACCTGGCGGGGTGAGGCGAGGCGAAGCCCAGCCCGTCCCGCCGCGGCCCCTGGCGGACGGCCGGTCCCGCCTAAACCGGCGGAGAGGGCGTCGGTCGGTGCCGCCTCTCGAGGTGATGGTTGTGGGTATCAGGCGAGGAGGTCTCAGCCCGGAAAGGAACATGTTCCTGGACCAAAAACACAATAAACACGCACCTTTTTAATTTCTAACTATTACTGCTAATAGTTACTTTTCTTTAGATGATACAGTGGCGTATGGGTGGAGGTCCCTCCCAGCGGAAAATGCCAGTGCTCCATATGGCACGTCTGGAGTCCTCTGTCCCCAGTGAGCCGCACGCTGGTCTTTGCGGCCTGTCTGCTTTTCTGAAGAGGTATGGGCAGGGGGAATCACCTACTTGCATTTGCCTGGATACTCTCAGAGGGTTACTCATGTAGCCCCTGTGAGTAATTAAGGAAGGTTGCTGCCATCAATTTCTCCTGCATGGAAAACCCACAACCCAGAAGTACCATTTTAAATATAACACATAATACTTAAAAATCAGAATTAGAAGTCATTCCCTAATGATACCAGCCATATAGTTCTTATTTTTAAATACCTCACTATAACCGTGATACACTGCTGTGGTGAATAGTTAAGCATGGTTCCATATGCTGTTGTGTCTTTTTTAATGACTTCAGATAAATTAATTAGACTGTCAGGGTACTGATTGTGATTTCACTAATGACTCAAAATAGGAATAGATGTTGGCCTATTAGGGTAACAGCTAACTTAAATAAACGTATAATATAATTTAACAAGTGTAGTGGTGTTCTCTGTGATTTCAGGAAGCATTCTCTGCAAATGCTCCATGAAATTAAAGAATAATTTACTAAGATCACTAACTAATTAGTTTCACACAAACTAACTCACACCTAGGTATGCCAGAGTTCATATTTCCCAACCCAAGACAAAACCATCATCCAAAACTCCACCCAGAAATAAACCTAATGTGAGTGAGGCTCCTCCACTTAGAAAGACTAGAAGAATCATTGGTTCTTGTAAAGTATCTTGACACATGTTGAAGCTAGATCTAAGCTTTAAAGGGGAAAGGGGGAAATTCCATTTCCAGAGACACGTCATTGTGTATTGTTTTCAGAACTGCAAGGTAAAATATTAGTTCCACATAATTCCTTATTGCAAATACTATGATAGAGGTGCTCAGCAGCACTACTAATGTCATTTCCCTCATAGTCTGAATCCAGAACCTGTTACCATCTGGGCATGCATGTCTGTGTTGGAGAAGTGTTTCCCAACATTTGATCTTGTATTAGCATTTGTTCAGGAAGCAGCTACTATAGAACCTGAGTACACAGGTGGATGGCATTTGGTGGCTTCTTAGCATGGCAGAGTAGAAGCCAGCTTGGGAATTTGGTCAAATTGTCTAGAGGACTGTAGCAAAAACTGAGAGGATACTTCTGTTTATATTGTTTGGTCTCAGAAGCATGGGAACCATCAGGCAGCACACAGATGAAAGATGCCCTTTGTGTGAAACATCTCATCATAAGCAGATCATTAAGGAGTGAGCTTCTGAAACAGTGCCTGTTACTGATGCTGATATCATCTATTTCACTTCTTTCTATCACTGCTCTAAGCATTTCAAAAACATTCCATAATTATTTTTCCTGTAATAATCAGATTGAAAATAGCTGTCCCTTTACATCCCTGTCTCTTATTCGTTAGATAAGCTGTTCTATCACACAGAAGAGATAGAAGTGTAAAGATGGCTTATCACAAGCCTCTCACTAATCCTCCTACCAGCCCTCTTTGTTCTGAAGGCATTCTTAGCTTCTAAGAAATACTTCACCCAGGTATAAGAGGCATAACACTTGAAGCCAAACACAACTAACTGACAGGATAGTTGCGAGCAGGGAAGATAACATGAGATTTCATGAACAGCATTTCTGAGTCTTGAGTATTGTATCATTACAATTAATTGTGCAGTGCCTCTAGTTTTAAGCAATAATTACAGCAAAGTTTATATTTACAGTAGTTAAAGAACATAACAACATGTCTGCTTATACTTTGGTCACCAGTTTAACTCACTTTCCACAGAAATTCCAGAAAGCTTCTGCATTCTGTGACCCAGGGGAATGCCCACAGTGTCAGACAAAAAATTACTGTTGCAGATAAAAATGACGAAGCTTATCAACATATGTAAAACAGACAACTTTTAGAAGAGCTCTCTTACTGTGACTTTTTTTTTTTTGTTACATATTTTAAAGATGTAGCAGCATTTGTCCATTAGGAAGTGTGCTTTATGCAGAGTTTAACTACACTCTCCAGCTGCAAGTTGCAGGTGTACTACAAATAGAAAATCCTTAGGCTGGAAATAGTTCCATTTTAAAAAAGTCCAAACAAGTCACTGACAACAAAATAGAATGTTTGCTATAAATTGGGTGACCCCTGAGCTACCCCATTTAAGACAGATTTTTCATGGATGTGATTTAGATATCATCTCAGTAAAACAAACCTATACTACAGTTGCTTCTTAGCAAAATAGCTGATTTTGAGGAAAGGTGTTAGAGGATAAACATGTCCTGTTTAAAAATGAAGAGGAATACAGGCATTTTCTGAGTCACAGAGTCGTAAAATCATAGAATAGTTAGGGTTGGAAAGGACATTAAGATCCGTATCCTGGGGTGCATCAAAAGGAGTGTGACTAGCAGGTCGAAGGAGGTGATCCTGCCCTTTTATTCTGCTCTTGCGAGACCTCACTTGGAGTATTGTGTACAGTTCTGGTGTCCTCAACATAAAAAGGACATGGATCTGTTGGAACAAGTCCAGAGGAGGGCCACGAGAATGATCAGGGGACTGGAGCACCTCCCATATCAAGATAGGCTGAGAAAGTTGGGACTGTTCAGCCTGGAGAAGAGAAGGTTGCGTGGAGACTTCATAGCAGCCTTCCAGTATCTGAAGGGGGCCTATAGGGGTGCTGGGGAGGGACTCTTCTTTAGGGACTGTAGTGGTAGGACAAGGCGTAACAGGTTAAAACTTAAACAGGGGAAGTTTAGATTGGATATAAGGAGGAAATCCTTTCCTGTTAGGGTGGTGAGGCACTGGAATAGGCTGGCCAAGGAGGTTGTGAATGCTCCATCCCTGGCAGTGTTCAAGTCCAGGCTGGACGAGGCCTTGGGTGATATGGTTTAGAGAGAGGTGTCCCTGCCCATGGCAGGGGGTTTGGAACTTGATGATCTTAAGGTCCTTTCCAACCCTAACCATTCTATGATTCTATGATCCAGTTCCAAGTCCCCTGCCATGGGCAGGGACACCTCACACTAAACCATGTCGTCCAAGGCTCTGTCCAGCCTGGCCTTGAACACCGCCAGGGATGGAGCATTCACAACTTCCTTGGGCAACCCATTCCAGTGCCTCACCACCCTCACAGTAAAGAATTTCTTCCTTATATCCAATCTAAACTTTCCCTGTTTAAATTTTAACCCATTCCCTCTTGTCCTATCACTACAGTCCTTAATGAAGAGTCCGTCCCCAGCATCCTTATAGGTCCCCTTCAGATACTGGAAGGCTGCTATGAGGTCTCCACACAGCCTTCTCTTCTCCAGGCTGAACAGCCTCAACTTTCATATTATATGCTATGTTGTGGCCTTTCTTTCTGATATTCTGTGAGCAACAGGAAAAAAAAAAAAAAAAGGTCTGTATTAAATCTTCATAAAAGTCTCTACACACCCTAAAACCTTCATACAAAGAAAGAAAAGCATCATACTTTACATGTTTATGAAAAATCATTGGTTACTTCTACCTAAATCATGTTTCACCTGAGTAGTGTAAGCCACATTTATCCCTGAATGTTCAAAGATATCCCCAACTTTTTTTTGAGGTACAGTTTTGCAAATATTTTTCTTCAGTGCACAATTTATAATGTAGCACCATTCTAAAATCATTAGTATGTGAAAAATAAATGTTATATTTACATGGAAGAATCCCAGCACTTGGCTAGACTGATAACTAATTAAAATATATATATACAGATTGGAAATTAAAGTCACCTTTAAGTTTCTGTAGTTTGATGAAGAGAAACAACTGAAAAGATTCTATAATCTATCTTAATTGGCAATTGTTAATTTACTTGTTTCAAGACAACTCTTCAAACAAAAGAATGTTTATTGAATAAGTTATATAAACAGGATTTATTTAAAAAGACTCCCATTTCTTTGACCATTACAAAACAGTGATTCCTGAGACAAACCAAAATAAGTTCACTGCCCCTTTAGCAAAAATATTTTTCCTCTTTAAAGCTAGATTTGGTTTTCTATGATACACTGTAAGGGCTTGACACTGATTTTGTGAATAAGTTAATTTGCTCTGCTCCAGAAGACAGTTTGCTCGTAGTCTGTAATTTCTCAGACTCTGTAAAGTGGCACAGGTCAGCAGTGCTATCAAAAGAACTCATCTTGCCTTCACCCACCCGTTCTCTCCCTCCCTACACTTCCATCTTCCCTGATGCAGTCAAAGAAAATCTGCAGCTGGTTATCAGTTCCCCAATCCAGATAAAAATCAACCCCCTTTTTTCATGGTTCTTTGATCTGGTTCACCTGCCACCACATAAATCTTTACCCTGGCACAAGAGAGGGAGCAGCACAAGGGCAGGAATGAGCTGTGGCACCATAAATTAACATAAAGGATATGTGAAACTGAAAGTATGATTCCAAAAGTGGTTTTTTTAACGGATAAGCATCTAGAAACAATTGTGCTCTATCCTTTTTTTGTGAAGCTTTTTGCTTCAGAGTATGTCTAAAGCATGTGCTATAAGATATCCTCTGCATTATCAGAGAACTTTCCTTTGCCCTCTTCAGACACTCTCTTTTTCTCATCATGCTTTGAAAACACAGTGCTGAACCCTGAACTTGTGCTGTAAATCCTTCAAGCTGTGTTTTTAGGGAGGAGGGGGGCAACTGATAACTTTTTTTAAAAAAGAAAGGATAAAAAGCCTCCCTTCTCACAGAAACAAAACCTCCTTCCTTCTCTGTAGCCTGCTAGTGTTGAAGGATGGAAACATTTTCAGTCTCTCCAAGATTTCTTTCAGATTTGCCAAACCATCCCTGCCACCGAAGATTTATGTCTGGACCCTAGCAAAGCGCTTACCTTAAGAATACAGCCGAAGGATATTTAACGAAACTATATCCCTAGAGGATGAGTAGCAGTAGACTCTTTGAAGGCTCAGTCCTTTTTTAATTATGAGCTAGACTCCAAGGTCCAGTGGGAGGTTTGGCCAAGGACTACATAACACATTTCTTAATGAAAATCAGGTTATCAGAATTATTCTTCTTTTCTGGTTATGCAGACTGTGATTATAGTGAACATGGTATTTAAACA